TTAAGGTCAAACAAGACTGTCCATAATGGACACTGGAAGACCACTACAAATGTCATTTTTATAATCGTTTGACCTGACTTTTTCTGCAAATATTCAACGAAAAATAATTCAAACACGGAGAACACGAATCAGTCTTTTTGAGGCACACTCGTTTGTTTAGGGATAAGTTCCACGCTGGACAAGACATGAAGGACACGCAATCAAAATATCCACCACATTCACAATAATAATAATAATAATCCTAAATTCATTAGAAAAATAAAATTATTTCTCAATTGATATATTTATGTTTAATAACGCCATATGTTGTAAGTTAAAAAAATTATTATAATATAACACAAGTATGTTGCAGTAATAAAAAGTGTCATACTAAATATATAATAATATATTTATTTTATAAAACGTATTTAAATTTTCAACTACTTTTTCTCATTAATTTTAGATTTTAAGAAAAACATTAACAAACACTCGTATAATACACGGGCGTTGTACTAGTAATAATAATAAAAAAAAAATCCTTGCTTGTTCGGTTGTTCCACGCGTCTCACCGACCCCTCCAATTAGTATTAGGAAAAAGGAAAGAGTGAAGGAAAAAAAAAAACTAATTCCGACCAAGGGCAAAGAACCTTCCTATTCCTAATTCAAAGAGACTTCCAGAATTTCATCTTAACACACTTATAAATACCAATTTTACATTTAATACTTTCTCAACAACCAAAGTCTCATCACCAAACAACAAAGCTAAATTTAAGTTTCTTCAATCAAAATTCCTTCATTTTTCCTTACCTTTGAATCTCTAGAAAACAAAAAAACTCAATCAATCGATCAATCATGTCAATGTCGATGTTCAGCTCGTTCGACGCGCTCTGTGCCGAGTCATTTTTCGGCCAGAAGACCGGCCTTTTCAGGGGTCCGCTGCCTTCCGGCGGCGACGCAGACGGTAAAACATCGGAGTTGAAAATCGGTGTTGTGAAGAAGGGCAAAGAAGTAAATTCGTCACCGCCGCAGCAGGAGAAGAGGACGGAGGACTGCCGGAGGGTTAGGGCGGCGAGGTTCGCGCCGGAGCTCGATGGGGTCCACTGCTTTGAGACTATTGTTCCGTATTGATTAATTGATTTCTTTCTTTAAAGGGAATCTTATGTGGTTTTCGTTACGTAGTTACTATTCTTTTACGATGTAAAGCACATATTATTTAATGAAATTGACATTGTTCTCGACCAATTATGTGGTTTTTTTTTTTTGGCGTGGATTTATTCGACTCACTTATTTTTCGGTTTCTGATCTGTTTCTTGAATAAATCAATTTGATGTCCTCCCGCCATTGTTTTTAAAGCCATCCGGTAATCGACCCGAACTAGTCTTTCCGTCATCGGGTCACCGGTTCAACCGTCTGGTCAATTGTTGAATCGGATAATTAATTTAAAATATTTATAAATATTTTATAAAGTATTTCTGTGATATTATATATAAATAAAAATAACAAAATTAAATGTTTTGTGTATAAAATTTATACATTAAAGTGTTAATAATATGTATCTCATAATAATATTTACCATATAAACATATATACATAGTTTTATTTTCAAAAGAACAAAAAAAATAAAAAAATAAAAATATATATATAGGCCGGATCAACCCACGGGTCAATGCATCGAGTCGGCCGAGTCAAAGCTGGGTTCGCCGGGTTTTGGCCGGGTTTGACCGAGAGTTTTGTTGCCGGACCAAATAGCTCACTCGAACCAGTTCCGGCTCTGAGTCGACTGAGTCTAGGTCGACCTGCTGTGCCGGTTCGGGTCAACAAACTAGGCTTCCAGCCAGGGGCGGAGCCACCCATGAGCTAAGGTGGGCTCCAACCCCAGGTAAGTTTAAAAAAAAAAAAAATTCACATTTTGGACCATTTATGTAGATAGCCCCATGTATTATTATGTTTGCCCATTTGTTTCAATTTGCACAATAACATAAGCCCAAAATATTTTTAAGGTAGGCCAACAATGAAAGTCCAAAATATTAAAATCCATTACCTTTCTTTTCTTTCTATCCCAATTCTCAATCCATCGTCTTCTTAACCATTAAAATGGTCGAAAGAAAAAAAAAATTAAAAAGAAAAAAAAAAAGAAAAATTCCACCGCGCTGCCAATCTCAATCAAGCGAACCGAGCACAACTTCCTTCTATTTTCTTGGATAACCATTAATTTGGATGTGTTTGATGAATTTATTGATTTAAAAGTTTATTTACTATTTTTACTGATTTTGAGTAATAAGATGTCTCAGCTACCTTGTTATTCTTCCTGCCAAAGCTGTCATTATTTTTGTTGAATGAGAATGCCCATTTTTACTAATTTAAAGAATGGTAAAAACAGTGAAAACCATTTTAAGGTGTGAATTGGGCTTTCCTTAAAAACTATTGAGGCTAAACCAT